GTTCCCAGTAGAGTCCCTTTACTGATTTTCCATCACATACAGCTTTTCAGTAGTTACCATCATCAATTTGCATCTTTTCCATCCTGTTCAATCATCTTTTGTTATTTTCACCATTTTCATTATGTTTTCATCACATTTTTCATCATGTTCATCCATTCGTCCTTACATTGTGCTTCGGAATGGAGCTCTCGTGTAGAGCCTCCTTACATTTTGGCTTGAAATCATGCTCTCGTGCGAAACGTCTTCATATGCTGCCTTGAAATCGAGCCCTTGCGTGTAGCGTCCTCACATGTGGCCTCAGAATTGAGCTCCCGCGTGGAATTTGCAGGCCCCCAACCCTCCAGAAAACAGCACACACGCAAATGAATTCCGGGCCCTTGAACCAGGCTGGGCCTTGCGGTGGAGCGGCTCAAGGTTCTTTGCTTTCTGTGTTTTGCAGTTTGATCTCGGTTTTTGCCATGCTGTGAAACAGGAAGGGTCCACCATCCAGCAGCTCTGGCAGATTGTTTGAGAGGATGGTTTGCCAACTTGGCAGCCAAAAGCTTCAGGGTTCATGTTCCATGTACATAGCTTGCAAAGTGGGAGAGCTTCGTCCCTGAGGCACTGGCTTAAGTGGGGTGCCCCCGCTCACGTCTCACCTGCCAAAGAAAATGGTTTGGCCCGGTAACGTGAAAAGCGGCATCAGGAAGAACCTTTCCCGTGCGCAGGCTTGCCATCGTTTGAAATGAACTTATCTGCCGTGACCTGTTGTAGGTGGTTGCTGGCCAGCTTCCTTTGCACCGGTACTGGTGCAGCAGCAGCCAATCAAGCAGCTTTCCGTCTTCATTTCAGGATTTTGAATTAGGGGGTGAGTTTCAGGAGGCTTTGACGTTCTTACTTGTTGCATGCTCGCTTGTTCGCTTGCTTTCTTCCTAAGGCCGCCTGCATCATAGCCCGAAGCGCCGCCAGGTCCAAAGCGAGGCAAGGAATTCAGTTTCTCGCCCGCAGCACGAAGTGGGTTTGTTGATGTCCAGGTATTGAGCACCGCCAAGCCGGCGTGTACAGCTCTTAGAGCTCTGCCTGCAAAAAGACCTGGCTTGTGGCGGAAAAATCCTTGAATGCTGGTAAGCAGAGCGGGCCTATCATCATCAATCCCGAGTCAAAATACGCGAGGGTAATAGAGCCCTTGCAAAAACAGCCAAAGGTGCTTATTGCTTTTTGGAGGCAGCCATGTAAACATAGGAAGTGCCATCTTACATTCTAAAAAAATGCAGTACGTGGCAGTTGGAATGACCTACCTCGCAGCCCTTGCCTTCAACATCTCCAAAGGCTCGTATATACGCGAAGGAAATGTCCCTAGTCCTATCCCGTTGTCGGATGGTTCATGGTTCTGCTACCTGCAGAAAAGACTTAGCACAAACACATCCTCAAAGAGGTTGCCTTTGCTTGGGGTGAACAGGCAGCACCTCGTGACCATGCTCAGCAAGACCAACCCTCATTCAGAGATGTGGAGAGGAGAACATGTATGTGCCCTCTGCTCAAGGAAGTGGCGCTGCTGCTGCGAAACCTCAAGCTGGTAGCCCCGTAAAAACTATGCTGCGACAAAAAGGGGTTAATCTGGTGTTGAAAAGTGTAAACTCCGGGGTCTCGCTCATACCCACATTTTGAAACGCCCAGTGACGGGGCCACATGTCCTTTTGCATAACCTAAGTCGTACAAGCAGCATATCAATAAAGTTTTTATGCAGGTGATGTTTGCCCCTGCATCCTTGCACTGGCTATGGGTGGTTCCGGCAGCCAAGCCAGTCTCGCAAACACGTCCAGGGCGACAGCCAGATTGGAAACTGAGACTGGTGCTTCCGGCTGCGTCAACTTGCGGCTCCATGCGCGCGCACTGGAGATTTTTAGGCCGCATGGGGCGAGGAGCTGGTGTCGAGCCAGACCCGCAGCCCGAAGTTCCACAGCTGCCTTCCGCAAAGCGCCAGTCACCAAGCGCTTCACAAATTGCAGGCGGGGCCGGCCTAAACTCCACAGCTGTCAGGGGACAAGAAGTCCTGAAAGCCCTTCAGAACGATGATGTGCTGGAGCAACTGAAGCAAATCACGCAGGAAGGACCGACAAAGGTGGCCGTCCTGGGAACCCGTTTTTGCACCTATCTGCACCAGCCCGTGATCGAGCTGTTAAGCTACGCGTTAGTTCTCAGCGGCAATCGCGTGATCACATCAGGATCGCAAGGCACCAACGCTTGTGTCATCCGTGGCGCGCTCCGGGCTCAGAAGCCGCATCTGCTCACGGTCATCCTGCCACAGGGCTTCGGCAGACAGGAGCGCCGCCGGTACCACTTCGGTACGTACAGTCAGATTTGGCAGAGTGTGGTGTTCCGCGCAGGAAGAGGATGCGCAGACTCTTCTTTATGCGTGCATGGAAGCTGGAGCAACCGTCATTGAGGCGCCTGAGAATGACAGCATGCAACATGTCAGCAGGAAAGAGAAGAGCCGACGTGTTCTACCATCTTTGCAGAGTGTGTCGTGTCAATGTGCTGCAGCATGGAGTCAAGACCCAGGCCTTTGCAGCAGGCAGCTGAACTTTGCAATGCGAGGGTCTTGAACCGGGCTGCGAAGCGTGGCTGCAGTACTTGTCACAATTTCAATGTTGCCTTGTCGCGTCTACCTTCCACGCTTAGGAAGCTGATTGTGTTCACCTTCCACAACTCCTCAGTGCTGTTGAAGTGCGTGGAAGATGCACGGCAGAGAGGGCTCATTACCACAGTCCTCTACTTGGACTGAGGGGGCCCTTGCAAGATCCATGGTGCTTCTTTTCCACAGTGCCAGGCGAGCGCTGTCCTTCATTGAGGTGGCTACCAATTCGTAAAGAAGTCATCACTCAACAAATCTGCTGGTTTATTGCATCTGATCTGCTTAGCTGTTTGCCTGTAAGGGGGCTGGTGGTGCCCATTTTGTACTTTGCATGTCTGCTGCAGCAGTAAACTGTGCAGGTTTTTCCCCAAGACCTCTAGCACTGACACACAGAAGAGGCTTCCTTCCAAGCAAGGTGAAGAACTGCGATCAGATTCTCCGATCAACTAGGTGCATGAGTACTTGGGCGCTAAGAGCGCGTATGCACGTTTGATGTTCATCGCTTTGGACCAAGTGCCTCGGAGAAAAGGTTTATCGCAATGAGTAACAAATTAAGCTTCATGCTAACCTCCCATTTTTGCTTTACAGAGGGGGGGTCCATTATTTTCAAATCTGATATGACATGAGATGATGTCGGCCAAGTGAAGCGCGCTGAGCCTAAGCACTATTCTGGATTCTGGCAAGCAGGACGCTTCGGCGCTTCATTAGGCATCCTCACCAATGAATACTTCAATGTATTGGCAGGAAGCAGGCCAACGCGACCTCGTAAACCATCACTTTTGCAGCACATGAGGCCAGTAGCCTTGGCTGCACGGAAATGACTAGAAGGGCACAATGGAACGCGCCTCAATCCAGAAAGCTAATTCTTACGAGCGAGGCTAGCTGTGCTATGGCTGCGTACATCAGAGTTGGTCTCGTGTTTTGGCAGGTGTAATCAAGTCAGAGGTGTTCAAAGTGCTTTCACGATCATGTGCCTCGCGCTCACCCATCTCCGTGTCACAAGAGCATGTGCACTCAGCAGGGCTCAAGCTCTTCCTAGTTAACAGTTAACGCCCCCTGCCACACCGTGCTGGCGCCAGAGCCTGACTTTGGTCGAGAGCATGTGGCACTGTCATCTCTCCCTTCCTAGGGATTCCGTTGTGCTGCCGTGTACATGACATGTAAAATTTAATGCAAAAACTTGCACGAGCCTTGCCAATGCACCTTTCACAGTCTAGTTTACCGCGGGCCTTTGCAATGCACGTTTCAAAGTTTAGTTTACAGTGGGAGTCTAGGAAAAGCAGGGGCAGAAATCGCTTTGGCATGCTCTGACTCCTGACACCCTGGCAGGGCAGCCAAATTCTAGTCATTGTTTCTTCAGCAGTTGTCAACGGTATGCAACTGAGGCAGACAAAGTGCAAACAGCTGCTCCAGCCATGCAGGGGATCTCAGCGTTGCCTGAAACTGTGAGAACCATGCAAGTCATCTGTTTGCATCAAGGTCGGACGGAAATGAGATCTCCCGGCGCGAGCTGGAGAGACAGATCCAAGAGCTTCGGAGAGACAAGGAGCGATCAATGCAGAGCTGTCCAGAAAGTGAGCCCTTTCATGTTGTCACTGGTTTGAGGTGAAACTGGATGACAACATACGGAAGATGGAAGCCACGCAGAAACGCATTTTTGGCCAAGGACTTGGCTGTGGAATTCAGGCTTGGAAGTCGATGCCCTCTCCTTACCTCTGCTGCATGAGGGGAAGAGGCAGAGAGACCGAGACTGATGGCACTCCACGCGCAAGACGGTAAGAAAGATGACGAACAGGCACGGCTTGCATCACGCGGCGGGGTCTAGAAAGAGATGCTTACAGACTTGGTTGTGCATTCCATCCATTCATAAAGGAAGAAGGAGACGAAAACAAGGACGAAGAGAAGGAAGACAAGAAGGAAGAGAAGAAGGAGGAGGAAAGTGAAGAGACAAGGAAGCGCAAGCGGGAGGAAGACATCGCGACTGGGACAGCAAAGTCAGCGGTGCATCCCCCAGAGTGCCAAGTCAGCATGTTAAAGCCACTCATTGATTGTGTTCAGGAACGAAGAAAAAAGGAGGGACGGCCGACAAAGACTGACCCAAGAAGCCGCAACCTCTTTGGCAAGCTGTTGGGACATCTGCATTCCGCAAAAGACAGGTGCGATTTCTCTTGTCCATTGTAGTTGCCGTGCTGGTGCACGAGTTCTCTCTCAGCAGGTTGCAGAAGGAAAAGACTAGCAAGATGGGCGAACTCCAGCAGAAGGCTTTGAGCCGAGTGGAAGAAAAGGTTAACGTGAGCAGGATGAACATCAAGGAGTTCAGGAAAGGACAGATGCCTGGCCGCATCCGGCTGTGCTGATGTTGCCACTTGCCTGATGTGACCATGTGGGTTGAAGTCCGACAAAGGTTCGAGAAGCAGCTGGTAGAGGAACAGGCGAAGGCGACTGCCGTCTGAGCATTGATGCCACGTTTCTGTGGAAGAATTCCAATGCTATCTGGTAAGGCAGCCGAGATAGAAAAGCAGATTGAGGAGAAAGAAGTTCTCTTGCTGCAGCGTCGCCTGGAGCAACTCGGAGACAAGCGGCCGCAACCCATCCGCATGTACCCCAAGCTACTTGCGGCTTAGGAACCACTACTCGCTCATGATGAACTTCATCCGTACGGAGGTGCGGGGTTGTCAAGGAGGTGGGACATCAAGGCGTAAGACTTGGCCTACAGGTTCAGCCGACAATATTCTTCCTTCCCGCGAAGCACACACGCGACACTGAGAAGCAGTGCTCACCCTAAACAAATCTACGGAGGCAGCATGCATACCTTCCCGCACAAGTGATCAGTTGCAACCAAGGCTGGAGGAGTCCCGTGATGTGCTGAAGAACAAGATTGCAACTCTAAGGATGCAGTTCCGCCATGAGGCATACACAGCTTTGGAGCTCAGGCTCCTATTTGACAGGATCCATTGGAAACTGCCGATGCCAGGCCTCCAAGAGTGCAAGTGCTGCGGCCGCGGAAGCCGACGCAAAGGTGCGCAAATCAGTCATTCGTAGAGACACGCACGATCCAGAAAGTCCCTTCAAGCAAACACCCTGACCACACACCGTGATGCAGGATCCGTCTGATTCGAAAGGCACACGTATGCACAGTCTGAGACTGCATGGTCAGCTCGAAGCTTGTGTTGCCACAGCAGCCTGAGAACATGCGAAGTGCGACGACTTCTGTGTGAGCCTGAGAGCAGGTCCCGCTGCGGGAGAGATGGATGTGGAGGAGCGGGCGTCTGTGGTACGTCAGTTCAAAGTTCAGCTCAGCTCATAGAGTCTTGCCGCCTTGCCTCTACCAGGAGCCACAGAATGAGGCTGCGCAGGGCAAGCTTCTCAGCCGGCGCTTCGGTGTTGTGTTGAAAGTGGAAGTATCAAGGCAATACCCTGCAGCAAGGCTCGAACCAAGAGCCGGAGGAGGATGCCGCCGCCAGTGACAGCTCGTAAGATGTTACATGGAGCATCTCGCTACCAGCTTATGAATGCCAAAAAGCACCAACCCCTGGCCTGAGTATGCTAATGCCTGCTACTGCTTCGCAATGCAGATAGATAAGTGGCTCCACGCTCCATCAGTGCTGGAAACTTCGTCCAACCTTTTGAGTGGCTCAAGGCAGCTAAGTCCTGCAAAGCAGGGGCTGCTTAGGAAGTCAAGTCCCCACGCTGTAAACAAGAAGCATATAGGATTTACCATGTCAGGAAATAGCGGATTCACGGAAGACTGCTAGTAGGACATAGCCAGATCATCTCCTGGATAACTCAAGGCCTTGGCTGCAAGAAGAAGGGTCCTAAGCGGAGCTTTCGCGGAGACCGCTCAGGCCAAGGATGCAGCCGGCGCAGCCGGTAGATCTTGGCATGATCGAGGAGGCTGCAGCGGAAATTTCCTCTTTGACGCAGTGCCTCAGCTGCACACTCTGCATGGGACTCATTGTGTGTTTATTGCAGATGAGAGGTTGCCGAGTGTCTTCGCTACCCATATGTCAGACTGAGGAGACATGCCCTGGAGTTGCATATGGTACTCGAGCGGTTACAGCGCAGGATAAGGTCACTTGCCAGGACTTCTAGTTGCGATAGCGGTCAAACAAAACTTTATAAGCATCAAAACGAAACTTTTTACGCATACAAAAACTTATGCCCTATTTCCTGTGGAGTACACTAATCCGGAATGTTTTTCTTTTGGTCTTGGGCTTCGACCCGCTACCCTGGCGGGAGGAGAGCAGGATGGAAGGAAGGAAGGAATGAAGGAAGGGGTCATCCATGCTTATGGTGAAGACAAACATGTCATCACCATGTTTGCAGAGGGGAAGGCTGTGCGGATTTTGTTGGCAAATGGGATGGGCTGCGCCCCCCAACAACTCCGCTTTTTGAAGCCATCCATGCTGACGGCTTACGGTAACAAAACATATCATCACCATGTTGGGTGTAGGGGAAGGTTGTGCGGATCGTTAGAATGCCCGAAACATTTCTTGTGTTATAATGATTATTTTTATGTTCTGTACTTCCTTTCAGATTATGCTTACTGCTATGCATATTACTATTACTCTGATTACTTCTAGTATGAACGTTATGTATTATTACTACTCTTAGCATTATCACTACTATTATAACTATTACAACTATTCATATTCTCATGATTGCTATTTACATTTTTGCACAACTTTTACTGTTTGAATTGGTATTATTTACTACCATTATGCTATCATTATTGTTGTTGCGGTTGTTACCATTACTACTAGTACTTTATACTACTATTACACCAACGCTGTTGCTGCCGCTCCTGCTACTATTATTCCCACCACCTGTACGTTACAGTTATTGTCACTGTCGCTGTCACTATCTGTCACTGTTACTGTTGCCGTTGCTGTTACTGTTACTGCTACTACTACTACTACTACTCCTACTCCTGCTAGTACTACTAGTACTACTCCTGCTACGACTACAACAACAACAACTACTACTACTGCTGCTGCTGCTGCTGCTGCTGCTGCTGCTGCTGCTGCTGCTGCTGCTAGGGGTCACGCCCACTCAGTGCCGGAATATTTCTTGGACATTGCAGGTCGAAATGTGTTTTGCAGGAGCCCGTCTTCTGCGAACATGTTTTTTTAAATGGTTACTTAAGCAGGTATACAATAATGGATTGTGAATCTCGGGTTCAGGTTTTGGAGTTTGCGGTCTAGGGCCGGCTTCAGTTCTAAACTGAACTATTCTGAGGGCTATATGCGGTGGTGCAAGGCGTCCGCCATTTACGGAGACAAATGTCAGGGTTTCTGCAAACCCTACCTGGACCCCAAGAGTAGGTAAAATAATAGCCCAAAACCTAAAAAAAGCCCAAACAACAATTCTTCTACATACTGTTGAGGTGCAGGTAGACCGTATCCTGTTTTGGTGAACCTGGGAGCCACCAACTCGACAAGTTCAATTGCATTTCATGTGAGCGATAGTCTTCTAAAGTATTAGTATCCCCCTTAATAACCTGTATAGTATTCTCCTCCTTCACCCTTAACCCGAATATAATCCCTGATATCACCCCCTTTAAAGAATTCAGACTACAGCTGATGTGGGGGTTTAGGAGCTTGGTGAGCCCCACCCGCGAAATGAGTTTTATGTAGTCGGTTTAGGGTTGTTTATGGTGAGGTTTTACCATTACAACTTAAACCCTAAACCCCACCCCTCAACGCTTCTCTGTAAACCGCGTGACACATCGGGTTTCTAAGGTGTAGGGTCAGCAGAGGCGTTTGTTACCTTCAACCCAAAATGCGCAGTGTAGACGTGCTCATCGAAACTGCCCGGGAATATAGTTCAGTTGTGGTTTTGGTATGGATGCTCAAGTGACCGCATGGTCTTGGAACACGGACGTTATTATGGTTGGGGCATGGATGCTATAGTGACCGTCTGCTCTCGGAACATGAGCGTTATTATTGTTTAGGCTACCACTACCACTACCACTACCACTACCACTACCGCTACCGCCGCTACCACTACCTAGGTGTCAACGACGTAAAGTTTGTTTTGATGCTTGCCTGTTGTCCTTGCCTCTACTAAGTTTAGTTTAAGTGTTTCATTTGATGTTTTAAAAAGTTTTCATGATGCGCTGGGTGTATGATTCTTGAAGCTGTTCAAGTTTTTTTATCCCTCGCCCCTTCCTCTAAGTCAGGTTATTCTTTGGTGTACTTTAGGATTTAAGGTCAGAGGTCCTTTGAGGTTCAGGATTCAGGTGTTTGTAGGGGGATTCAGATGTTTGTAGGGTTTCGTTTTTGGGGTCCTTTAAGGGTGTAGGCTGAAGTCTTGGGGTTCTTCAGGGTTGGGGGTTGTTTGGGGATTGCAGCTAGGGTTAGGGAGGTGTTGAGGGTTAACGTTTGGATTCAGGGTTCACTAGACTAAATTCGCCGGCCATGCATATGAAATCCTGGGTAACTGACATCAGAAACACTTAGCCTGGACCTGAACCCCCCTCCCCCGGTCCAGGAAGTTCGCAATCTGACATTTTGCCCCAAAAGTCGCCAGTACCGTAACTGCCAGTTTTTGCAGCTTTGGTATGACCCGGGGCGAACCTAGGTCAATGCCCGTTGCATGTTCAACCTTTAAAGTGTGGAATCCTGTTAGCCATGAGGCCTTCAGATGAAGCGGACGTGCCCAACATGCTGAAGCGAGGCTCCTTTCAGACTGAGGCAAGCAGTGCTTGGACGTGAGGAGAGGTCTGAGCTTTTTTTCTCCCCCACCACCTTGCTTTTGGCGTGAGGCACCCGAAGCTCCTGGAGTGCCTTCACCATCGCGCTCGCAGAAGATGGCCTTTGAGTCGCCAGTCCAAGACGTTCCAGGCCTGCGATTGCGGATCCCGTCGTAGCCTCATATCCAAATCTATGGCGGCAGGCATGGTTGCTGGCAATGATGGCCAGGACAATGAGGCATACTGGCCACTCATGGCATCATGGGTGTGAGTTGTCTACTGCAGTGATCTGTTTCATGAGCGGCACCGAATTGGCAAGGGATACTTCCTGATTCAGGTTCAGGCGTTCGAGCCGCAAGCCTTCGTACCCGTCATACCACTCACAGAAGAGCCGGAGCCACCCTCCAGAGCGGGCAGCGGGAGATCTTCGCGTTCATCCTCGGAGTCTTCCAGTACTTCCTCTAAAGATCCTTGGATTCAACCAACTCCACAGCTGGCCCTAGCTGTGGACAGACCTTTGCACAGGTCTCTGGAACCCCAGACCACAGGTCTGAAGCTCAGATTGGCAATGGGAAGAGGGGCACGTCCTGGCTGTTCGCGTGCCCTTGGCCATAGGTCTTCTTCCAAGCGATCGTGGATGAGGCTCCCCCTCCTTTCGTCTCATGCTGCTGTAATGGCGATGAGCCACCTTGTTGCTAGACCTATTGCACTAGGAAGAAGGCAAGGGCTCCCACCCGCAAGAAGATCATCAAGCCGCTGGTCAGTTTTAACCAGCTTTGGGCTATGCTGTGCTCATCCGGTAGGTGCTGCGCAGCGTGCTGAGGACCGTGGATTCAGGTGAAGGTCACCAGACTTGGTACCAAAAGTGTGTTTACAGCACCGCATATGAGATGTACAGTTGCTTGCTCGCAAAAGGTAACCTCAGGTAGCGTATTATGAGTTGTGAAGACTGAAGCGTGGCCGAGGTGCCATACTCATTTTGGTGAATGCAATCTTTGTCGGCTGGCAGACAGACACTTTGCCGACTTTATGGCTGTTATTGGCACGGCCGTGTTATTCTGCTTGGTTGCTTCCTGTCAAACGCAGGAACACTTGGCGGCAACAGTCCACCAACCTGAAGAGGGTTTTGAACCCGTGTTTTTTTTTGTCGCTTGGAGGCACAGCAGCGCCTGCCAAATTACAAGAGGTAGCCACTAAGTAGTAAGGCACTTCATTCCATTTCCTAACGGAGATTTGCAGCGGAAGTTGATCTGTCCAATGACATTGCATGTGCTCCCAGGTAGCTCAGATCTTGTTTTTTATTGCATTCTTTCTGGACTTGGTCATGCGCTGGGTTGCTGATGGTCTCATCTTCTTCATCTGCAGCGAGGCGCCTGCGTTGGAGGGTTTGTTGGAAGATCGTCTTGCAGCCTGACAGGAGATGCATTGGAACCTCCTGGATATCTTTGTGGTAGCCATTGGCTGCATGGAGGTTGTCACCGAGACGCTAGTTCTTGCTGGATCTGATGTTGGCTTGGCAATGACAAACTTTTCAGCCACAAGCCCAGACATGGACGATCTCCATCAAGATGGATGAAGATGGTTGTCTTGTTGCGTCAGGTTGTGAGAATGATCCGCGTCCTGCGCGTGGTCCGCATAGCTAGGGCAGCTTAATTCCAAGTCAGGTTGCTGCATACTGGTTGTTCGGGGCAAGTGCCGCGCGTCTCACTTTTTGAAGCTCAGGTAATTCGAGTTCTGAAGGCCGGGAGGTGAGAGACGGCCGGAGGGAATATCCTACGGTCCAGTGCATACTTCTCACTCAGAACAGCACGAAATCACGTAAGAGGCAGCGTATGTAGACAGTCATTACTTGGCACTAACTCGCACACATGTTCTAATGATGCTGGGAGCCTCCTCCGCGAGTTTGTTGCTGGCAGCTGTCAGGCTTTTCGAGAGCTTCGCTTGATGGTTGCGTCTATCGTCAGCTCAGATGCTCGTCTGCAACGAGCAAGCTTGTTGCTAGCTTCAATAGCTGACTTGATTAGAGCTCTGGCTTTTAGTCAACACCGATGCTGGAGTCATGCCCAAGGCCCGAAATCTGCTTTGGGTCATCCTCGTCCTGTGCGTAATGCTTTACGCCCTTTGGCCTCACCAATGAACTTTCTCACTGCATCTAGATTCATGTAGCAAAGCAGTGCGAGCAGTTGCTTGTAGCTGGGCTTTGGCAGCACGGCTGTCGGATTGGATGCGCTGTGAGGTTTTTGGAATCAGCTTCACCAGTGCCGTGACAATGGAGCTTGAGTCATTGCCGAAGGATGCAGACGGCACGGCTGACCTGAAGATGTGCCATAGCCTGGTTGTAGCCGTAAAGCTCAGAAACATGCAAATGGCGTTCTGAGCATCAGCTGCCGTGACCGTCGTGTGTTTAGGTACTTTGGGTCCCTTTCCAGCTCCGTTTTGACCCTCTACAGCTCCATGTCGGGTGGAGAAGACTGGTTAGTGCTGCTTGGGTGCACGGGGAGACTGGTTAGTGCTGCTTGGGTGCACGGGGCCATGCAAGCATCCAACAGACGAAAAGAGCAGCAATGTAACTACAAGAGCCTGATGCAAAGTTAGGGTGAAGCTACAGGGCCATTACTCCTGGTTCTGATTAATTAATGGGGAAGTTTGTCAAGGTACTACCGTGTGCTGGGTCGCTTGCCTTGGCCATACCAGCATCTTGGCTACAGAGCAGAACTTGCTTTCCAGCTTGTGACTTTCCTCTACTTGGATCGAGGATTCTTTATCTGTTCTTCGTGACTTTTGCAGTGTTCGCGGTCGTCAATGTTGTGACAGGCCAGAGTGGCATGCTTGTTGAACGCTTTGCAAGTTTTTTTCTGATCGCGCTGGTCCCAACCATTTGCTCCCAAGGTGTTTTTGTTGACACTGCCATTGAAAAGAACCAGTCGGACAAGGAGCTTGCCGTGCAAGAAGAGCTGCGCAACAAGAGATTGCGCCACCCAGAAGCAGCTATACCAGCGCTGATGATTTCATCGACCTGACATTTTTGCTGCCAAGGTATGAACTGGATCAGGGATGTGTTCAGCGAATTGGATTCTAGTGGAGATGGCACAGTGACACAGCAGGAGTTTGAGAGTCAACTGAAGCCAGGCTGATTCAATGATCTTTTCCAAGCGACAGTCTTTCTTGCTCAAAGTTAGTGGCATCTTGGCACAGCCTGCGCTGAAGGAACCATGAAGCTGTCATTGCATATTTTAACACGCTGAAGCTCGATGTCAGCGATGCAAAAACATTATTCCGGTTGTTAGACAGCTGCTTGGCCACAGTTTGTCAATAACGTAGGGTCGTGAACTGGGATGATGGGAAGATACGGCATGAAAGACACAAGCGCGAGCCAAGGTGATGGCTCGGACGGTGTTAACATCGACGAGTTTGTGTCCGGCTGCTACCGCCTGTCTGGTGAAGCAACGACACTGCACACGCAGGCAAGCAGCTCAGGGAGGCATGCATCCACATCAAGTTCCGCAAGCAAGCTGATACAAGCTGATACACCATGTGCATCATCAGGTCATGCAGATGGACGTCAAAGTTATCATGAACAAGATGCCGTTGGCTTAGCAATGGAGCCCCATGCAATCTGTATGTTTGGCTTCCTACGGCTGACCTCAGGCAGGATGTTCTGGAAATTTTGGAAGAGATGCGCACCAGAAGGAGAGGCAGTGGCAGTAGGCCATCTCAGCGGGACAGCCTGCCAGCAATTATCAACCTGAGAGCCACCAGGTGAGATTACACTAGGTTCGGAAACGTAGCAAGGCATAGCTGGAGAGATCAGTCCTCCAATGCAAGCAAAGTGGACACCCACACCTTGGGCGTCTCAAATTCGTTTCTTTTTGGGCTGCCAGCACATTCGCGCCAATCGTTTCTTCAAGCCTCTCCAAGAGAGCTTGACGCCATTGCCCGATTGTGTCTGCGCCTGTTCCTTAATTTAATGCATGTCTGGCACCTGACACATTGTTCAGATGCGCGCTAGGTAGGATTGGACCAACCCGCCCAAGGGTTCAGAGCCTCCTGGGGGATCTTTCATCTTTCCTCCTTCGACGACCGCAGGTGTTCAGGTGAAAGCAGGTAAGATGCCAGGGCTGCCAGGTTGTGCTCGACTGCCCTCTCACGTTGCTTGTGTATGCTTGTGCTTGTTTGTGTGTACGTCTAACCTCGCAGCTAGTCAGTTTTCTGCAGCTATGAGGTCAAAATCTGAAAGAAGCCTGGTCAAAGACAGTGAAGCACATGCATCAGGCCAGATCTGTCTTGCTGGCAGCACACCGCACTGTCATTTGATGCCGGACAAGCAATCACGCGCTGGTTGCATTCGCAATGGCCAAGATCTACTTGGAAGCTGGTCGAGTTGTGGAGGATGTGATGTCAGGGCAATCTGGCTTGAAGGCTGCCCTCTATGCGAACCCTCTTTCGGCGGATCCTCGTGCAGTCTGCAAGCTGGCCTCATGCACGTTGTCGAACAAGGCAGCGTTAGCCGAAGCTCTTGAGCAAGTGGGACTGCTGGAACAACACTCGCGTGGCGTGATGCTTGTCATGGCCTTTGAGCTCCTCCTTGGGCATGGGTTGCGAGGAGGAGGGAGGCTGCGCCGTCAATTGGAAGAGCAACGAAGTGCATTGCAAGCAGCCTTCCAGAAGTCGACTTGTTTGGAAGTAGGCTCAGAGGCCAAAGAAGCCTTTGCAAGTTTGCCGCGCTACGTGCGAATTAACCGCCTGCAGGTCACGCAGAAGAGAGATGTTGATGCCCTGAAGGAGCGGCTGAAGAAAGCGCTATTTGCAGCATACCAGGCCGATTTGGATGCTGGGCGAGCAGTAAGTCCAGAAATGGCGTCTGTTGAGGATGATGCGCTTGTCCCAGAGCTGCTGGTGCTGCATCCTTTCTCGCGGAGTTGGTTGCAAAAAGTCCCCGAGGCAGGGACCGGGGCCTTGGTGCTGCAGGATCGCTCGAGCTGCCTGTCTGCTTTGGCGGCAAAGTTGGTCCCCGGCGACTTCGTTGTCGATACATGCGCAGCTCCGGGGAGCAAGACGGCCCATGCCATCGAGTTGCTGGGAAACGGCCGCCTAGCAGCTTTTGAAAGAGATTCAAAGAGAGCGGCGGCCCTGCTGAAACGTCTCAATTTGCTGGTAGGCTTCAAAGCACAGAGGAAGAAAAAGAAGATGAATGAGTCCCAGTTGAAGCTCGGTTCGCGGATTCAGGGGCGTTGCCTGGCTGGAAGCGGTACCAGCGATGCTGGAGTGGAGGTCGACCTGCGTGTTGACGATTTTCTTGAGACAAACCCTCTGCTTCGGCCGTGGAGCGACGTCGACGTTCTTATCGTGGATCCGAGTTGCTCGGGCTCTGGACTGCCTGAGCATCACTTGGTAGATGCCATGGCAGAGAGTGGAAAATCCGCAAGAGTAAAACGTCTGGCAGCCTTTCAGAAGCGTATCCTCTCCCATGCTCTACGCTTCCCCAGAGCAAGGTGCCATGGAGAAGGCATTGCAGCACGAAGTTTTTGTTCTCTGCTGTCACGGTTGTTCACGGCACGTTATGATTCAAGGATTTGCGGCGGCAAGGATGTTCAAAGGTACCCCTCTGTTATGAGATAGGGTTCTAGGAAACATGAGACAGTGATCAAGAAAAAGCAGCCAAGCAGGTATGACAAAATGAGGAATTTGGGAGGTTTGGTGGTCTCTTTATCCCGGGATTTGTGTTTGACTCAAAACCATTCTCAGGAAACAATTCATTTTCTAGAGAACGGTTCCCAGCTCGCGGGGTTGACATGTTGTAGCATGCATGAGAGAAACTTGGAGAGGTCTCAAAACGTTTTAGAACGGTTTTGGAACAGCTTTTGGGCGAGTGGCCTTCCAGTTTCAAGGCTAGGCCGTGCCATTTTCAAAGCAAGCGAGGGAAGGAAGCAATGAATGAAGGAAGAATGAACAGATTGAAGGAAGGACCTGGATAGATGTCTGCATTCTCATCCAGGTTTTGGGAACTGGGGCTGCCGCACAACCCACCCTGCCTTGCTTAAATGCGAACACAACGAGAGGAAGTCCCAGCTTTCAGGCTATGACGACTTGAGTTCCGCATGGAATGGATTTCCCAAAGATAGAAGGTTTTTCCGTTTGCTGGAAGGGAATAAACCCTCTTGCAAGCCAACAGAAGGGTGTTGATGTCAAGTACGGAAAAGAGGCATGCATGGCTATGATTATACAAGGTTACTCTCGCAGTTGCAGCCGCCATCGGCCAGCAGTCCCAGTAGTCGTATTGCTAGTTACTGCTGATGCTACTGTTGCTCCCTTGCTGTTTGCAAGCAGCAAGCACAATGACTGGCAAGTGTTAGCAAAGCTTAAGAATAGCCTGCGCGCTCTCAAATTCCTGCAAGTTTTTGCCTATGAGGGTTCTGGCAAGAACCTCCACGTTCGTCCACCCCTCCCGTCCTCTACAGTCCCATTTTGAAACACCATGCCGGGAAAATCTTCCAACTTCAGTCCTCATTCTCATCTTCATCCCTGTTTTGGAGTTGGGCGGGCTGCCTCCCTGCGATGTATTGCAGGAACCACAATGCCTGGGAAGTTCTATCAAGACGATATCCAGATACTTTATGGCAGTTTCCAGAAATTGGGGGATAGACCAACGTACCATAATCCTTATGTTGGAGATCCACAAAATGTGCTCCTAATTTTGGCTAAGCTCGCCACCGGCCGTGGTTTCGCGCAGCCGGAGAATGCTGAAATTTATTCAGAAAGTCAGACAGTTGTTACTTGTTGCAAAAAGTGTCACTTTTCGACTTTTCGGGCAGTTTTCTCACTT